TATTTCTAAATGGGAAGCTTAGTGGGTAAAGTGCGGGCAAAAATTTTTTATGTCGTGGGTTCGAACCCCGGCTGGGTTCTTAGTTGTTTTTGGCCTTTTTAAAATAAAATCTCGACATTTAGAGTCATTTAAAAGCATAACTTGATAAAAATAAATTTTTTGGAAGGTAAGCAATGACCTAGAATGTTATAAATTGACTAGAATAGTACATAAATGTATGCACGGAATAAAACCTCCTAGCATTTATTTTTTGTGGACGTTGGCTGTCTTTAGTAATATTCCCTAGTAGTAAAGCACTCAATGGCCGCTTCTTCTCAAGAATGGAAGAGAATAAATATTTTATTTAGAAAATATAAAAATGTTCCAAAGGCATGGGGCAAAATTTCTCTAACATTTAAGGAGTAAATAAGCGAATTTAAACTTTTAAAGTTTCAAAATTTAAAAAGAATGAGTTGGCTTGTGATAAAACTTTTTGGGAGAACATTAAAAAAAACTCCTATTTGGCTACTAAATATATTTTTTGGCCAATTTTTAAAAGAGAAATTTTAAAAAAGAGAAAAATGGACAAATGCGTCAGCTGTTGAAAAATGCTTTATACTAAAAGAGCCAGGAAAAAAACGTTTGGATGTGAGATAAGGATAGAGAGAGGGAGATAAATTTTTTTGGGAGGATAAGAAAAAATATGAAGGAAAAAAGGAAAAATAAAGGAAATGGAAAAAATGGTGAAAAAATAAAGTGAATAGAGAACATGATTGAGAGTCCCAGACGAGGGTTGGATTAAAGCCCATAATTCATTTAAAAGGCCATATTTTCTAAAAGATTTTGATTTTATTTGATAGGGAATTAAATTTTTTAAATTATTGAGGAAATGAAATTTTAGAAAAATAAACAAGAAGGATTTAATTTAAAAATTAATTAAGGGATTAAAGTTTAGTGAGATAATGAGTTTAGTTATTTGGCCCTAGCTTCTTTTTCTGTGAATAAATTTTTTTCCTTTTTTCAAGGTTTTGTAGCAAATTTAATTCTCTATCAAACAAAGCAAAAATGACGTCAAAAGGTTAATCCAACCATGAGTTATGATTGAAAGACTCGGGTGTGTTTCTAGTCTTGGGCAGCCTCTTAAGGGTAGACTAGGTTCTATTATGCTGTACTGGGATAAAATAAAAATAAACGTAAAAAAGACTTGGCCAATGCTGTCGTAATGCTTTTGTTATGTTTTTATAAAAATAAAAAATGGCCTGGAGAAGTTAGAAAAAATGAACGTACGTTAAGGGCATTTTAAATTTAATTTTAAGGAAATTAAGTTTTTAATAAAGTTGGATCGTTTTTATTATACAGTATTTAAATTTAAAAATTCTTTCCACTAGGGTTGACGGTTCCTGGAAATTCTTCGGATATCCGAAACCGAACCGAATAACCGAAGAACCGAGAAATCCTCGGTTCTTCGGTTCTGTTTGGTCCAGAACAGACAACCCTACTTTCCATTGTTTCATTTTTATTAATTTATTTAAAGCCTTTTTCTAATATTCTTTTGCTTTTTTATTGTTAAAAGATTAAAAATAATATTTTTATTCACCTTATCATACCATATAAGGCATACTAACACAAGCACACTCATAACAGCCTCACCACGTGTATTTCCTATCCCAACCCCCCACAAAGTCAATAGTTTATATTTTATTTATTATTTACCTTTATTTATGTTCATTATTTATTATTTATTTTCAGTTCTTTGAATTTTAAATTTTAATTTTTTAAATCAAGCTTTATTTGGATAAAATCGGATAAAAGCCTCCAAACAGGCTTCTAGTCAATTTATCTGTCCCGTTTTTCATCTAGATTAACCAAAAGCCTTTTATTCTAGACTTGGTAATGGACATGGACTTTGGCATCCGGCAGGGATCCTGCCGTCCCGATTCCCGAAAATCGGGAATTCCCGACGATTTTTTGGGTCGGAATCCCGATTTTCCGAAATTGGAAATTTTGGTTTTTTGTCGACAGGATCCCTGGTATCCGGATATTTACGGCGGATAAAGGCGGATATCCGCAGGCATTCTGAAATTATCTGTATCCATATCATAATCCATTGCCATTCACTGTAGAAGCATTATTAAAATTTACATGACCCAGACTCAACTGGTCCTCACAAAAATAGATGAGTTGTAAAATTGATTAGAGAAACTAACTTTCCTTCCCAGTCTCTCTCATTCTTATAATTTCTGTTATTTAATGCTAGTATGCCGTCATATATTTCAAAAGCTGCTGTAATATTGGAAAAGCACAGTCATTTTCGCGTAGCTATATCCCCCCTTTTTCCTTTAAAAAATTTATTTTATTTAGCCTTATTTTGAAAAATTGTAGGTAGTGTCTGCCTTTTCATTTTTATACAAACTCAGCTTTCCTTTTTTATCAATATTCACCGAAAAAAACATTTTTTCAACAAAAAACCCAATAAATAAAACCTTGAAACAAGCCAAAATCTTTGTTCTTTATTATTGACAGACGGGCTGTTTGAGTCTGGAGATTTTTAATTTTTTAAGATTTTCTTTTCCTCGTCATTTTTGGTTATTACTAGAGTCCGAACTGAGAGTGTCTTATGAGAATCTTACAAGATATCTAGAAGCCTCTATCTCGTTCATAGAAATTTTCTTCGAGATTTGTTCTTAATCCGGTCTCTAGTCTTTTATTTTTAATTTACTTTAAATATTCCACTTCCCTGTTATTTTTGGTTATTTTTCATCACATTATTACCCTCTCATTTATCACATGCTACCAATTAATTAATTAATTTTTTGCCCTTAACTTTTCCTTCCTTTTTTTAATTTAATTAATCTAGCAGAATTTTTTAATTAATTAAAATAAATTTTCCAAAATTGACTAAAAATCGTAAATCGATTTTATTATTTACCCATTTACCAGCAAAAAAATTTTTTTTTGAAAATTTTTTTTATATTTTTATTCTGTTAAGGCAATAAATAAACATTGAAAAAGACAACAGAAAGGGATGGGGGGATTATCTCTCTTTCCCCCCACATAATTTTTTTCTCTATTTTCAATCCCCATTCTCTCTCCCTTTTTTCAATTCTTTTGTCACATTTTTCTCTGCTTTTAATTTAAACATCCTTGACATTTGACTATCCAACTATGCTTTTCCCATCATTTTTTTTTCATTTTTGTTTTTAAATGTTTAGATTAATAAAGGAGATTATTTGATGAATTCATCAAAAATTAAACACAATTTTCCCATTATTTTTTACAGGGGATCTTTGTATTTGTTAACGTGTCACGTTGAGATTTTTAAGCTTGATGTAGCCATATCTCTTCCTATAATTACAATAAAATCTTTCTATGTAACTTTCCTCCAGTCATCCGGTATCCTCCTACATGTCACGTTGTTAAAATCATTAAATTATTGTTAAAATTATCTTTCCTAAACATTAGGAAGAATACCACTTCAAAATCTCCCAGTCAAAATCTCTTCCAATATTTACATAAAAATTGTCAAAGATATTTTATGCCATTTTCTTGTTTAAAATTGAAATTTAGTCACATTATTCATTCATTTTTTAACAAAATTTATTTCAAGATTTCAGTTAAATTCAAACGGGTTTAAAAATAAACCACTTTTAAGGCCACTTGAAAATGTTTAGTAAGCTTTTCCTTAAACTTAAGTTTTTAAGTTTATAAACTTAAGTTTATGAATAATTTAAAAAAGTTTAAAATAAAACTTAAGTTTAATTAATTAAATTACAAAGTTTGCGCACTTAAACTTAAGTTCAACTTAAACTTAAGTTCAATTTCTTCGTCATTTTAATTTTCTCAAACTTTAATTTGTAAAATAATACAAACTTAAGTAAACATTCTTTAAGTTTGTACTTTCCTTTTTTGACAATTTCTTTTTTGGAAATTAAATACCTGGTACTACCACCCTTACAAATTAATTTATAAATAATTTATTTTGATAAATAAATTTATTTGGTAAAGTGCAAGGTTGTAAGGTTCGGCTAAAGATTATTAAATTCTTAGGCGTATGTATATTTAATTGAAAAAAAATTTTTCTTTACACAAATCCTTTATTTAAACAACACAATAATTCTCTTCTCCTATTGTCTTTATATTAAATTTTAAAAAATGTTTCAAATATTTTTCTAATTTTAATTAATGTCTCGTCTATTTAATCAACTATTTAATCAACTAAAATTTTCCTCCCCTTCTCCCTTTCTCTTATTTAATTAATTTAATTCTTAATTCCCTCAACTACCAACAAAAAAAATTTTAAATTTACTTGCGTAATTTTTTGTTTATTTTAATTTTATTATAGTGATTGATTGAAAGAACGTGCTCTCGTAATGTCGAGAGTCTAGTTTGAACCCTTTTAATTGCAATAAAAATTTTAGAAGAATATAATTTAATATAAACAGTTGGCAAACTTAAGTTTAAACAAAAAAAATTTTTAACTTAAAAACAAGTTTTAACAATAAAACTTAAGTTTTATTAAGTTCAAGTTAATAAATTTAAGTGTTAATAATTTGAACATTGCAAAACTTAAGTTTTTAAGTTTGTTAAGTTTGAAAACTTAAGTTTTTAACAAGACGTAAAAACAAGTTTTATTAACCTGAACATTGCAAACTTAAGTTTTTAAGTTTTCAAGTTTTTATTTTTCAAGTTTGTAAACTTGTTCTGTGTGTTTTTTCATAAATGACTATAAAACACATATTTTGTATTTTTAATATTACAAAAACACAAATCAAATACAAAACATTTATTACAATACTTTCAACTTTATTTTTATAATTGTACAATTGTATCCCAAAAAATATATGTATTTTTAGTAGTCAGCTGTCTCAAGTAAACAGCCGTCTGCACGTTAGAATCAAAATTTCGTCTAACGCTAAATTTTGATAAATTTAAAGTACATTTATGAGACGTAAATATTTTTTAATGAATTATTATTTTTTAAATTTATTTTTTTTAGAAAATTAAAAAAAATTTTATTTTGAATGTTCACACTCCATTTCTCCGTTTCTGTCCCTTTCCCCATATTTGACGACCAATTTGTTTTTGTGACTGGTTCCCATGAAAGCCTTGGATCTTGGGATACTCGTAGAGCTTTGCGTTTGGAAAAAGATGATGAAAAGTGAGAAAATTAAATTTTTAAAAATAAAATTTTAAAATTCTCTTCTAGCCATTGGACTGGTATAACAAATTTGAGCGTGGATACAGTCAAATTCCGTTATTTTATTGGCAATTATTTGCAGTCGGATGCGACAAAGGACCCAGTACTGGTTATTTCTAAATGGGAAGCGCATTTTACACCTGTGAGCTTTTTAAAAAATAAAAGAGATTGCAAACTTAATAACCTATAAAGTTTCAAAGCTTAAGTTTGTAAATATATTTTTAAATATTTTCAAGTTTTAAAGCTTCAGGAGTTAAGCTTGCACACTTAAAAACTTAAGTTTTTATTATAACCTAAGACTAAATTTTTTAAGCTGTTTATAGTTTCCGGAAACTTAAGTTTACATATTTCTAAGTACAGTATGTTCTAAAACTTAAGTTGTTAAGTTTCCGGAAATCCAAAAACTTAAGTTTGTAAAAATTATGTTTTCTTATAAACTTAAGTTTAGATTAAACACTAAAACTTAATTATACTTTGCAAACTTACAAATAACCCTAACAAACTCGATAATAATTATTTAGCGGTGTGTAATGCCACCAGTTGAAGCAAGCAAAAGTGGCGTTTGCCGTGCCAATCTACGCGATGTTTTTGGGTACAATTCGGGGAGTGAACAAATAAGTGACAGCTTTGTTTTGGGGGATGATGTTCATCATATTGCTTTAACTGTTTCTGGTGCTGCTCTAAAATTTTATAAGAAAAAGCATGAGCTACAAAATTATCGGGTCAAAATTGTGCCTTTTGACCTCAGGAATAAATTTGTGAGGATCTTTTTTTTGGAATTTGGGGGTTGGATAGGGGAGTTTTGAGGTTGGGGTTTGGTTCTCTTGTTTTAGAGGCTCTTCCCCTTCTTTCCTTTTGGACCTGATTTTCTCCCAGCAGTTTTGGGAAATGCTTCAGGATGGGTTCTTTACTTCCCCTCTGGGACTTGTTCCTGAATATAGGTACTTAGAAGTGATTAGGCTAACCATAGAAGATAATATATTCTTTAGGACATGACCAACCTCGACGACGATGAAGAACTCAATGCTGAAGATGAAACTCCGTTGCCGTCATTGCCTAGCCATTCCTGCACAGAGATTGCCGTAAGACCTAAACAACATCAGAGAATGGCGCCTTCTCTCATTTTTATTTTTAGGCCTAAAATTTCTCTCATAATTTCTTCTATTTTTATCATCCTTTAAAAATCATTATTTGATCTTTATTTCTCTCTCTTTTATCTTAAAAGTAGAAGCTCTGTAGAATAGACAAAAGCTTGTTCAAAAACGGATATGTATCCGTAATCTAATGCTCAGAGTGACGAGGGTGAACGAGAGGAAAAGCACGATGTTTCATCACGTATTAAGGTGAAGCTTGTTGTTTTATTTTCCTTTATACACTTGAAACTTCTAATTGAAATTGCAAGTTTGTTTGCTTATTTCATTTTAACTCTCGGCTTCAGATAAAGCTTCTTATTCTTAAGTTTTAGTTTTCAAGTTTGCAAGTTTAAATTTAAGTTTTACAATTCTAAGTTTTAATTCTAAAACACGCTTACTTTTTAATTCAAGTTTGTAAACTTGAAAACTTGAAATTTACAACTTAAAAGTTTGCAAACTTGAAACTTGAAAGAAAAGTTTCAACTTGAAACTTGAATCGTTCAAACTTGAGAGTTTCTATTAGTTAAATTTTCACAATTCAAGTTTTACAATCTAGTTTTATTTATTACAAACCTTTTCTCTACTTTTAAACAAAGCTTGTTGAAGCCTAGAGTTTTTCTCTTCACTCAAAAAATCTTATTTAAGTTTTAAACAAAAATTTAAAATGGCCCGCCGCCTCTCTCACCGCTGTTTTGTTGATCAGCGGCGTCTGGACGGTTTCTCCAAACTTTTCGCGCAGTTGTTTTTGCGCCGTAACTTTATTATTTTTTGTTTTTTTTTTTGCTTTATAGAAATTCTAATCCATTTTATTAGATTCATTAGATTCTCTTATTACCTCTTAAAATTTATCTTTTCTATTTAAAATTCTATCTCTAAGTCTTAAAAATTTTCTTTTTCTTAAATTTCTTATTATTTTTTTCTCTCAAAAATCATTTTTCCTTCTTTCAGGCATTGACACAAGCCTGCCCAAAATTTAAAGCTCAGCAAGAGTTTGGCGAACTTTTTCAAAATTCTATCGACTACCACACTTTTCGCACTTACTCTGTTGCTGTCGAATTTTTGGTTAATTTTAAAAGAAATCCTTTAAAACTCCATAATTTTCAGAGTTTTCGTATCGAAGTTTACTCCAACCAAAACAACGATTTGATAGCTCAGGGATATGCTTTGCCTTCCTCCCTTCACGATACTTATGGGAAGACTTCTGTTCCTTTGCTCACAAAACGAGGGGTGCCTACTGGGAAGATTTACTGTGAGAGAAATTTTTTAATAAATTTTTTAAAGAAGTTTTATTTAAACAGTCAGTTATCTGTTTATTCGGCCTATCCGTTTACCACATCCACGCCCTATCATGCACAATTGCTATGCAAAGTATTGGAAGAAACGAGTAACCTTGGAAGTTGGACATCGAGGAATGGGCGAATCCTATACAAAGTAAGGAGGGAAATTTAAAAAAGTCGAAATTTCGTAATTGATTTCGAAACTGATTTCGAAATTTCGGAATTCATTTCGAAATTGATTTCGAAATTTCGGAATTCATTTCGAAATTGATTTCGAAATTTCGGAATTCATTTCGGAACTTATTTCGAAATTTCGGAATTCATTTCGAAACTGATTTCGAAAACGAAATTTTTCACAAAATTTCAAAAAAAATTTTTTTAACTAGGTTCGCCGTCGCCCGCGAAAACACACTTCATTCGCTCAATTCAGCAGCCAAAAGGGGTGCAGATTTTGTAGAATTTGATGTTCATTTAACCAAAGATTTAATCCCTATTGTATATCACGATTTTCACGTAATGGTTTCTGTCGCCAAAAAACGAACAAATACAGAAAGCAGCAATAGTAGTAGTATAGATTCTGATGGGAGAATTAAAAGCAATAATGGGTCTGTTTCTCCCCCTAATTCTACAACAACAACGAATTCACCTTCTGTGGATTTTTATCAATTGGCAGTTAAAGATTTAAATTTGAATCAGTTGAGACTGTTACATCTTGATCATGTTAAACATAAAGAGGTGGAGAATTTATTTTGATTTTTATAATTTCGAAATCGAGGGGATATTTCGAAATTTCGTAAACTTCGAAATTTCGTAAATTATCGAAATTTCGAGATTTTTCGAAATTTCTTCGAAATTTCGTGTAATTTTTGATTTTGAAATGGAAAATTCTTAAAAATATTTTTTAAAGTCGAGCAATGTTGACCAAACAATGAATGGCGCTTCAGCACAAAAATATTCTTCCCATCATGTTACGGGTGAACATGACGAAGCTGAGGAACACAGGCCTTTCCCAACATTGTTGGAGGCGTTAAAGAATGTTTCACATGATGTTGGGTTTAATATTGAGGTTTGGATATTTTAAGAATATTTTTAGTAAGAGTTGAGGGATATTTCGAAATTTCGCATTTTTTCGAAATGTCGGATTTTTACGAAATTTCGGATTTTTTCGAAATTTCGTATTTTTTACGAAGTTTCGCGTTACTTTCGATTTAACTCAAAATTAAACAATTCATTATAATTTTTCGAAATTTAATAAATTTATTTCAGATAAAATACCCTCAATTAATTGTTTCTGGAGAAAATGAAGTTGAAGGTGGATATATTGAACGCAACGAATTTCTGGACATTATCCTCTCTGAAATTTTAAACAATGCGGACAATAATAGACATATAGTTTTTTCGTCGTTTGATGCTGATATGTGCAAAATGTATTTTTTAATATTATTTTTTATCGAAATTGAGAACGTTTCGAAATTTTACGAACTTTCGGAATTTTCGAATTTTTACGAAATTTCGAAATTTTACGAAATTTCGAAATTAAAAATTCCTTTTAAGGATTTCTGAAAAGCAAAAGAAATATCCAGTGCTATTTTTATGCCTTGGCAAGCAAACACGTTACCCTGATTATGAAGATGAAAGGACACGTTCATCCCTGACCGCTGTGAAATTTACTTATTCTTGTGGGCTTATGGTGAGAATTTTTTGATATTTTTTTAAAATTTTTTCCGAAATTTTTAAAATTTCGAATTAACTCGAAATTTCGTTGGTGAAAAATTTTTTTGAATTTTTTTCTTAAAATTTTTTTTCGAAATTTCGAATTAATTCGAAATTTCGTTTTAATGATAACCTTTCGAAACTTAACAAAAATATTTTTGTAGGGCGTCAACTTCCACAGCGAAGATCTTCTACTCGACCCAACACCAGTTTCTAAAGCTAAAGAGCTTGGACTAATCTCCTTCGTTTGGGGAGATGAATTGGTTGAGAGGAAATATTTGGACTATTTTAAATACAAAGTTGGGGTTGAAGGAATTATTTATGATCGGTTTGAGAATTTTAGTGAAAAAATAATTTTTTAATTTTAAAGTATTGGGGAAGGAGAATCAAGAAAAAATGTTTTTACGTTAGAAAAGGCAATGAGAGCCCAACTTTTTTCTTCCAAAAAATCTTCCTTTGGAAAGAAGAGTTCGTCCCCTCCAAGATGTTTTTCACATAACCAATTAAATAGTCAAGCAATTTCTTCTTTTGGTCCTGGGAATAGAACAAGAGGAATGAGTGCTTCTGTTTGGTCAAATGAATTTGTTGATCAGGGCCCTATTTCAATTGTCCACAGATTCTGCGGTCTGCGTTCTGTGCACAGACCACAGAACCACAGAAATTCTGTTTCAATTATTCCACAGATTCTGCGGAAAAAGAAGTCCGCAGATTCTGTGGAAACATGCACAGAATCTGTGGAAACATCCACAGATTCTGCAAAACATCCAAAAACATGCAAAAACCACAGAATTCTATTTCAATTATTTTTCTGTGCACAGAAAAAAATCCACAGATCTGTGGCTTTTTTAGTCGATTCTGTGCATTTCTGTTTCAATTATTTCTGTGGTCTGCGGAAAATACACAGAATTCATTAAAAAATCCACCCTAAAATTTTTTCTGCGAATTTTTTACGGAAAAACTTTAAAAATTTTTTTCTAGGCCTAGGCTTAACCAAATTTTAGAATTTTTAAAGATTATTAGAGTTTGATTCATTCTCTATTTTTCGATATAAAAATTATAATTTTGTTACTTAAAATTATTACTTAAAATTAATTTTGAAAAAGGTACATCATTTTTTAGCATTTTTTGTTATATCCAAGCAATAAAAAAATAAAAAAACGCGAGAGATTCTGAAATTTAGAGCTATGATGTTCTAATCATCATGGATATCTCTAATGAGGGGATGTTTACCAGGATCTATAGAAGATATCTGTATAGCGTATACTGGGATATCTCCCATGATCTCTCATTGATATCCGTCATAATCTCTCCTCCTATTTAATGATAGATTTCCTCCTTAATCCCTCCAATATATTAAACCTCAAAATCAATGGATATCCCACTTAATCCCTCCTCTACGATTTTCAAGTTCCGATGACTGAAATTTTGGATTCCAGGCATTTTCGATTTCCAGGAACCTCAATTTCTGACTAAACAATCCCCAGTTTTGTAACATTTCCCTCCCTTGCAACAACTTCTATCGTAGTTTGAAAAAGCCACATGTCGGATCGACATCTCCTGATTTTTCCGATCCGAACCCTGCTTTAGGACATTAATTTAATTGGAGATTTAAGGATATTGGATGAACAAGAAAATTAAGCGGTATATCAGCGGTTTTAAAGTGATATCAAAGAGATTTAAAGGGATGTTATGTGATTTGGAGGGAAAATTTTTAAATCTTTACAATATTTTTCAGTTTAATTTAAGAATTTTTAAAGTTTTACTTCAAAAAATCAGGTACCATTAATACTGCGGTAGTACCGAACTGTCCAAACCATTTTTCGTTTCAATAAAACTGTTATTTTCAAAAACGCGGAAATAAAAAATTTGAATTTAGAAGAAAAAATACACAGAACCACAGAAAAATAATTGAAATACAAATTCTGTGGATCAGTGGAAAAAATCCACAGATTTTTATATTTTCCACAGAAATTTTCATCCACAGAATCTGCGGAATGTTTCCACAGAATCATTGGATGTTTCCGCAGAATCTGCGGGCACCACAGATTCTGTGCACACAGAATTTAATTGAAACAGAATTTCCACAGAATCTGTGTTCTGTGCACAGAATGCAGAATCTGTGGACAATTGAAATAGGCCCCAGAAGTGGGTGTTTTTCAGAACTTTTTTCTGAATTTTTTTCAGAATTTAACTTCAGAATTTTTTTTCTGATTTTTCAGAATCAGAATTTCTGAATTTCTCAGAATTTTTTCAAATCAGAATTTTTCAGAATTATTTTCAGAACTTTTTTTTAGAATCAGAATTTATTTTTCAGGATCAGAATTATGACCAGAATTTTTTCATGATCAGAATTTTTTTTCAGAATTTAACAATCAGAATTATTTTCAGAATCAGAATTTTTCAGAATTTTTTTCAAAATCAGAATTTTTTCAGAATAAATTTCCTTAATTTAAGCTTTGGCCGTAGCAGCATCGATGGAAGCCCTGCAATGTTTTCTATAGGCGAAACAGACATCGAACAACAACAACAAATCCAACAACAAGACCCCCAACAACATTTTCCAATCATTCGCCGTCACAATTCTTCCCAAGCCCAAGGAACTTTTGGTTTCTTGCCAGTCCTTCCCGAAGCTTTATTGAAAACACAAAATGGGGGCAATATAAGCAACAATACAAGTATAAGCAGCAATAACAGCAGTACAACAATAAGTAGTGAATCAAATGAAACATTTAATAATAATGATATTGAAATGGTTACAATGAGTAATAATAATAATAATAAGAGATTTGTGGCTAGTGAAATTTGAAGGAAAAAATTTTTTCTAAGAAGGTGCAAAAATTAAATTAAAGAAAAAAATAAATTAAAAAAAGCTTTTGTTCTTTTAAATTTAAAAAATAAAATAATAAATTAAAAATACCCCAGAGAACTTATAAATAAATTAAAAAATAATTTTTGTAAAATCATTTTTGTATACTAAATATTATTAAATAAATATTGTAATACTTGTATTGAATTTACAAATTTAAAAAAATTAAATGAATATACATTATTTTGTTCAAAATACTTTTTTTGTTCCACAAAGCAATCTTCCAATTTCGACGTCTACATCCCTTTGAAAGACCTGCGCCATAGTAGTCGTGCCATAGTCCTTGCCTTTCTTTCCTTTGATTGTTTTTCGCTTGGCGCATCTATATTTTGGACCATAGGACGACTTTTATGTGAATGTGTTACTCCAACTGAATATTGGTTAATTTTGAGTTGCTTTGTTTTTTGTGTCCGTAGATTGCTAATAGACTCTGCGAATATTTTGCAAGGATAAACCAACATTTCTAACCATTAAATGCCCCCTCCGAAGCAGGGGACGGTCCCATGTACAAAACGGCACATGGACACTCCAAAATTTCACCCATGGTCACCAGCGACTGCCACCGCACAAACACTATTGGCTGCACAGCCGCGGACTGCCCCACCAATAGTGCTGCCAGAACGCACGGCCACCAATGTCTCTCTATCAGTAGTGTCCACTGGCTGCACAGTCACCGAAGCGATGCCCCACCAGCTTTCTTCTACTGAAGATAGTCCGCCGAAGCGGCCCATGGGTGAACTGAAGAAGAATTCCCAAAAATAAAAGATTTGAACACAAGTAATTCTTAGACGGTTAATAGAAAGGGTATAGAGAACACTAATTATTCGTGCCCGCATATCTTGCCAATTTCGTAACTTGCCAATAGGGCTAAAACCCCATATCTTGCCAATAATACTAAAATCCCATATCTTGCCAATAAGGGCAAAATCTTTAAAACTTGCCAATAATCTTAAAACTTGCCTTAAAACTTGCCAATAACTTGCCAATCCGGAAAAATGATTCCGGAAATGGTTTCCGGAAAAATATATTTCGGAAGTGTCGTCCGGAAAAAGGATTCCGCATGGAAAAATGTCGTCCGGAAAAAGGATTCCGGAAAAATATTTTGTACTCAACCGGCGGTACTCAACTGGCCGGTACTCAACCGGCTGGTACCCAACTGACCCCTACCCCTTTTACTTTTATTGGCAAGTTTTAAGGATTTTGCCCTTATTGGCAAGATATGGGTTTGGCAAGATATGGATTTGGCAAGATATGGGGGAGCCGAATTAGTAAACCAACATTTCTAACCATTAAATGACCCCTAAGCAGGGGCCGGTCCCATGTACAAAACGGCAAATGGACACTCCAAAATTTTTCTCATGGTCACCAGCGCACTGCCTCCGCACAAACACTATTGGCTGCACAGCCGCGGACTGCCCCACCAATAATGTTGCCAGAACGCACAGCCACTGATGTCTATCTACCAGTAGTGTCCACTGGCTGCACAGCGACCGAAGCCACTGCCCCACCATCTTTCTGCTAGAGTAGATAGTCCGCCGTAGCGGTCCATGGATAAATTGTGGGAGAATAGACAAAAATAAAAGATTTGAACACAAGTAAATCTTAGACGGTTAATAGAAAGGGTATAGAGAATGCTAATTATTCTTCCTTTTTTTAATTATTTCCCTTTCTCTTTTTCCTTTTCTCTCAGTTACTTTTCTTCTCTCTCCTTACTTCTCTCCTTTACTTTTCTTCTCTCTCCTTTACTAGTTTTTATAATTTTTCATAATAACAAATCGCTTAAAATAAACAAAATATCTACGGCGCGTTGTATTTAAAAATGGTCAAAAAAGGGAATTTTTGTAAATTGTCGAAGGGACTATTTTAAAAATTTAATTTTTATGTACATCAGGGATTGGGCGGGTTACCCGAAACCTAATATCCGAAACCCGTACTTTTTTCGACCCGAAACCCTACACGAGAAGTTTTCGAAAACCCGACCCGAAACCCGGCATTCAAATCACGTTAATTTTGAGGTCATTCGATGCAGCTCGATTTTGAATACCTTGAGAAAGAAAAAAGAGAGAGGATACGAAACCGACTATTACCCGCAGTGGTTTATCGGCTGTCAATAATTTTCGTTTTTTCATCTTAAATAATTCGTTTAAATTGTTTTTTTTTATTTTCAGTAAATAATGCTTCAAACCAAACAATTTACTCATTTTTTCTCCAAAAATGCTCTTCTACTTCCTCGTCATTAGTAAGCTAACTTTAAAAATTTTAAAATAATTTTCAAGTTCCTGGTTTTCTAATGTCGAAATGGGACCGCCAGATGCGATTTTGGGTGTTACCGAGGCTTATAAAAAAGATACAAATCCAAACAAGGTAAATTTGGGAGCTGGAACTTATCGAGACGACCAAGGAAAACCTTTCGTTTTGCCGAGTGTGAGGGAGGCGGAAGCACAAATTATCGCTGCTAAATTGGATAAAGAATATGCTGGGATTGCTGGGTATTTTTTAATGATTTTAAATTTGTTTAAAAATATTTTTTTGCGGATTTTGACATTTGCGGACTTTTTTTTGGACATTTGCGGACTTTCTCAAATATTTGAGGATTTTTAAAAATCCGCAAATTTTATCCACAAAATATTATTTTAACAATTTTTGACCAAAATTTATTCGTTTTTTTCTAAAAAGTATTTTTTAGAATCCCCGATTTCACTTCAAAAGCAATCCAATTAGCTTTGGGAGACGATTCTTCAGTGTTAAAAGAGAAGAGGAATGCAACGGTTTAATCAGTATCAGGCACTGGCGCTTTAAGAACTGGATCTGAATTTTTGGTTTGTTTATTTTTCTTCTTATTGTTAGGATCCTCTCTAGGCAACTTTCCTTCTAGATCAAGTCTCGGGTCATTGATTGATTTTTACGGATCCGCGTTCAGATTTGGGCCCAGCTGTAAAAAAAGTAAGAGGGCTCTTTTTGTCATTCTCTATACTTTCCTCGAGGCAATCGTGAAACGTTTCACCCGTGTCTGATCCAGAGTGTCCAGGGTTTTTTGATTTTTCATTGACTAGGGGTCAAGTATATAATCGATATCATTTCCTGGGATCGCCGTTTCTTCAACCTTTCAGGCGTCCAAAACACTCGAAATTTCTCTTTAAAAATTTAATTTGTTTTTTTTCAAGTCCAAATGGTTTTCTTCTTCAAAAGTTGTTTATCAACCAACACCAACTTGGGGCAATCATTTACCTGTCTTCAAATTTGCTGGAATGGAAATTAAGCGTTATCGTTATTACGACCCTAAAACTTGTGGATTTGATGAAAATGGGTGCTTGGAAGATATTTTGGCTATACCTAAAGGTTCTGTGATTCTTTTACATGCTTGTGCCCATAATCCAACAGGAGTTGATCCTAATGTTTGTTTTTTTATTTTTTTAATAAGATCTAGAAGTCACAGGCCTTTTATAGTCATCAGCACACGGGCTTGGGTAAGGGTTTGCGGTTTTTGGGAAGTTTTCAGATACCCTACCTATTCGGAACCGATATCTGAACCAAAGATTTTCGGATACCTCAAATTTTTTCGGTTCCAAATGCGCATAGCCACTAAGTCTAGTTCAGCTATTTTCCCTTTCCTTTTTTTTTCAAAAATTTTCTTTAAAGCCAGAGCAATGGATAAAAATATCGGAAGCTTGTAAACAACGCCAACTTTTTTGTTTCTTTGACATGGCATATCAAGGTTTTGCTTCTGGTGATGTAAACAGAGATGCTCATGCTGTTAGATATTTTGTGGAGTCTGGACATAATATTTGTTTAGCACAATCTTTTGCTAAAAATATGGGACTTTACGGTTTTCTTTAATTATACTTTTTGGATCTTACTATAAGCAGGGTGTGAGCCATTCGGTGGTCAAAATTTTGGCGCACTCCCCATTTTAGCCTCTCCCTGAAATCGACCCTGCTATAAGCTATGCCCCCTAAATTAGTAGCTCTGGTCTAGTTTATGAATCCATGGAACCCTCACGGTTCCATAAAAATTCTCTAGTTTTACTCCCTCCCTTATTGTGAGATTCAACCGAGATTTTAATTAAAAAGTTTTTTTATAGGTGAACGTGTCGGTACATTTTCAATAATTTGTGAAAACGAGGAAGAAGCTAGTCGTGTACTTTCTCAATTAAAAATTATCGTTAGACCAATGATTTCAAATCCACCAATTCATGGGGCACGCATTGCTGCAAAAATACTTGGAGATCCTGTTTTGAGAGCACAATGGTATGAAAAAAATTTTTTGTTTATTGGGAAAAGGAGGGTTTATCAGGAATGAGAGTAGGATAGAAGTTTTTGGAAAATTTTTAGAAAAATTTTTTTTCGGATGTCCGCAATATGTTGTCTTTTTGGAAATTAAAAAATTTTTTAAAGGCTCGTAGACGTAAAAGGAATGGCAAATCGTATAATTACAATGCGTGATCAACTCAAAGAGCTTTTAATTCGTGCTGGTTCTCAACGTAATTGGGACCATATAGTTAATCAAATTGGAATGTTTTGTTACACTGGAATTAGTCCAGAACAGGTTTTGTTTTTATTAAAAATTTTTTTGAAAAATTTTTAAATTTACTTTGGGTTTCTGGGAATTTTTGAAAAAAATTTTTGACGTCCGCAACATTTTGCGGACGAAAAATATTTTTTGCGGATTTTTTAAATTTTTTTTTTATTTTTTAGGTTGATCGCTTAACCAAGGAATTTAGCATTTATCTAACTCGAGATGGACGTATTTCTGTAGCTGGAATATCTTCAAAAAATATTGAATATTTGGCTAATGCTTTACATCAAGTTACTAAATGAATGCGAGTAATTATTTTATAAAAAGAAAAAAGAATTAATTTTAGAAAAAATTCTGAAAGGGGAAAATTAATTTTAAAAGATTTTTTAAGCTTTAGGCACTTAAAAATTTTTTGCATTTTGACATAATATTTGTAGTATTAGACAATTATGATTTTTTGTGATTTTAAATTAAATTTAAACTGGTTTTTTATTAGAAAATAAAGAGGTGCATTTAGTAATATTTTTTTTTATAAAAATATAAAATTTCCTTTACAGATTAAGGTTGGTTAAAGACTTTTGGGAAGTCCGCTTTTTTTAAAAAGCCTGCAAATTTTTTGCGGATCAAAAATCCAACTGATTTTTATCATCTTTTAAGAGTCCTCAAAGCTTTTTTTGGATGGGGGAGGGGGGGGGGGAGGTCCGTAAAAAGATCGGGAACTTTTTTGGGGATTTGGTAAACTTTTTCTAAAAATAAGTAAAATTTATTTAATAAATTCTATGTAATTATAATTATAGAAAAATTAAAAAAAATTTTTTTTCAAATTTCAGTAGACGCAACATTTTGAATAAATTTTAAATTAATTTTTTTATTAATTTGTTTTTGTTGCTCATCATTACCTTCTTCATCCTCATAATTTTGTGGCATTGTAGAATAATTTCTTTTTTCTAATAAATTTTGATGTTTTTGTCCTTCCAATTGTTGTTCCTTTCCATCAATAAATAAAAAAAAATTGTCATCATCACATAAATTAGTTATTGTCCTCCTTCTTGTATTTGATGAATTTTTATTTAAAAACAATAAATTATTATTGTCTTGTGTTTCATGATTAGCTGCTTCTATTAATATTTTTAATTGTTCTTGAGTCCGTTTTTGGTCATTCTCTTGTTGTTGTTGGTTTAAATTGGTGTCGTTATGTCGTTGGTGAATGTTCCTAATTGAAGATTGCTCTGTTTCTTCCTCTTCGTTTGATGAACTTTCTATATCTACTGTTTCTGCGACATATCCTCCGTTCAGTAAAAGTTGGGTATCTTTAAGAAAAAAATTTTGAGGGGAATTTTTAAGGTCTTAAATAAGCGAAGGGTCCGAAGGGTGTACCGAAAGGTGTACCCTTCGTGTATGTTCAAAGGGTCTTAAAAATATTTTTCTAAATCAGATTTTTTCTGAATTTTTTGTTTAGTGTTCCTTTTGTAGCCCACATTCTCCTCTATCATTTGATATATAAATCAGAATTTTCGGATGATTCTCAGAAAAGTTATAGGCTCTAAAAGAATTATGGGCGGGGACGAAAAGCAAGATCAGAATACTTGTAAAAATCAGAATTTTTCTGAAGTTCTGATTTTTTCAGAATTTTTTTTTTGTTTTTTATACCCGAACTCTCCCCTATTTTCCCAATACAAATTTAATTTTATCCTCTACCTCTTTGTTTACTTTGATGGTGTTTAAATGGGCATTCACGCGAGGAAGAGTCAAATCCAGCTCTTAATTGGTCTACAAGACATGCAGTTAAAACAACCCATGCCTGACTAGCACCAGGTAAATCGCGAACAGCTTCTTGATTCCTTAAAAAATTTTTGAGAAATATAGTGATAAAAACTAACACAACAATATCAATAACCGCCTCTCCAAACGCCTCCCACAAAGCACTTGTAAACCTAAATGAGAGAAAATACAGTATACCAACTAATTCCCTTTTTAATTAGGAATGTCAATTTGATGTAATTTCAAAATGTCAAATTTTCAAAACGACAAACCCGTAAGGCCGAAGATATCCATGTGCTTGACCAAGAAGTTTAGGATCAAACCCGCCTTTAATTTTTTTTTTATTTTTAAGAATGGATTTGAGTAAACCCACTATCCGTGTCAGTCCTTTTGTTTTGCTCCACGTCCAAGTTTTTAATTGCAGCTTCAAACATTTTAACTATAAGGCGAGCCTTGAAAAATATCTTTTGAATATGAACTTTATAAAATCTTCCAGTGGAACCTCGCTTAAAGATACTGAACGTCCACTAGGTTGTCACTGGGTATTGGGGGCGAGTGTCTAGCGATACCTCTATAAGATATCTTCTATACGAGATACCTCTCGTTATAAGAGACTATAAGATACAATCTCTACCTTAAGGAGGTGAGGTTCTACCGTATTTTTTTCCCTTACATGATCTCTAGGACTAGCAATTTCACATCTAGACATTGCAGATATAAAGGTTCTTGTATTAAACATTTCTCTCATTATTGGAATTTTATCTATAAATTTTATTTTAATTAAAAAATTTATTAAAAAACTAAACGCATCATTCTTTCAAATACTTCTTCAAATACAGTTTCGATTCGTTTCCCTCCGTTTCTGGTTAATAAACGTTGCCAGGTGAATCGCAAAGCTCTTTTGTGGAGTTTTGTAAAACGATCCTCGTAATTGTAATGACGAATGGTTGAGGCTCGAAACCCTTAATTTAGGGGATTTGATAGTAAAATGCCCAATATTTAACCCCTTAGTACCTCTTCTCAAACAACAATTCCCAGAACTGTGATGGAACAATTGGTGTTGTCGTTGCTGCCTTTGATGAGCGAGCATAAGCAAATGTTGTTCTGATTCAACGATTGAAGGCATCGAGCTTGTACGTCGCATAGCTGCTGCTTTGCTTCCATATCCTGCTGGTGATGGCTCGTTTCTTTCAATTTCGTCTGAAGGCAACGAAACATCTGTCCGTTGACGAACTGCGAACCTTTAAAGGGAAAATTATTGAAAATGTCAATTAGTTGAAAAATATTTCAAAATGTCGAATGAATCATTTCATCACTTCTAACCCTATATCTTGTTGTTTATTAGCCCCATTTGTCGAAAGCAAGGCCAAGTCGTTGAAGGATCGTCTAAAAGTTCGAGCTGCATTCCATCCAATACCCGAAAGTAAGACGGAATGGACGGCTGTAGAAACTAATTGACAAGAAAGTCGACGAGTTGATTGACGTCTGGATAAGTGGAATCGTTTTGGGGGTAATGGAGAAGAACGCCCGGAAGAAGATTCTCGGGAATGTGTTATACAAGAGGAGAGACGTCGGGCAACTAGGGAAGAACGACGTCTAATATTAGACATATAGAATAGTTATATACTATGTATAAAAATATTAGAGAGTAATTAGAGGAAAAATCAGAAAATCAGCATTTTCAGAATTTTTATTTAAAACTTGAGCTATAATTCTGATAAAGTTTAATTAATGGTAAACTTAAGTTGTAAATTTCCAGAAACTTAAGTATAACTAATAAACTTAAGCATAAGCTTAAATAAAATTCGAGTTTAATTAATAAACTTAAGTTTACAAGTTTAAAAAACTTGTTTATTAATTAACTTAAATTTTCCGGAAATGTTTATATTAATATGTCTAATGTTTAAATTAAACTTTAGCTTTCCGGAAAATAAATAGAGATATTAAGTTATTTATTAAATTTTCCGGAAACACATCTTAAGTTTACAAACTTGAAAAAATTTAAGTTTATTAGGAAACTTAAGCATGATCTTGTACACACTTAAGTTTTAAGGTTGAAAAAAAGTTTTAAGTTTAAACTTAAAACTTTACAACACAGTTACTTTAAATACTATAATTTAACTATCCGCCTACTTTATTGAGTTAAAATATATTTTTTATTTATTTTATTACAAGAAAATTGTGTTCACTTCAAGCGAGACTTGGAAATTGAATTTTCTACGTCTTTAAGAGGTTGCAATATAAAATGAGAAGAATTTGTGTGTTGATTAAATTTTATTTATTTTTAGTTTCAAGGAAAGGCTTTTATGGATTATCCAATTTTAGAAAATGGAACGGGGTCATGGATGAGAAATTTTTGAATAAATATATGTAGTGTGTTGATAATTAGAATATTTTTAAAAATTACTAAAAATAAAAAAGCTCACTTTTTCGGTTTTTGATGTCGATCTTGTTGCTGTAGTTGGTTGTCCAATATAAAAGCAGAAGTTGGTGAAGTTTTCTATAAGTGAATTATGGGTTAGGCATCTTTCCGGAAATAAAATAATGTTTATTAAAGTTTATAAACTTTCCGGAAAATATACACATAATAATATATGTAGGTGTTATAAACCTTCCGGAAATACATCTAAAGTTTACAAACTTAAAAGTTTAATGTCTACAAACTTAAAACTTTCCGGAAAGTATAATTATTTCCTTCCGGAAACATCTAATGTTTATTTTAAGCTTTAGATCTTCCGGAAACTATACAAATATTATGTAGGTTTATTAAACTTTCCGAAGAACATCTAAAGTTTACAAACTTAAAAGTTTACAAACTTAACATTATAAACTTAAAATGTAAACTTAACGAACCAAGTTTACAAACTTAAAAATAATTATTTTAAAGTTTATTATTTTAAATAAGTACAAGCTGTCACCTCTCTTATATCAACATCTCCATTTCCTCCCCCATCTCCATTAATACTTTTTGGAGAGAATTCAACTAATTCAATAACAGCCAAATCATCATCAACCTCTGTATTATTTGTTTTTATTTTTAAATTTTGTTTTAAAGTTCCAGTTCTGACTGGACAATTTAATGTTGTTGTGGCAACAGCAATACTTTCAACCCCACTAACGCCTCTAGAAAGTTTTTCCCGTTGTTCGTGTTGTTTAGCTGCTGCTTTTGCTTTTTCTTCTTGTTGTTCTAATTGGTGAAGAAGTCGTCGGCCTCGAACAATTTTTGCAATTAAAAACATTTTTTATCAAATTATTTTTTAAAGCTAAAAAAGAGGGGAAAATCAGTTGAAAATGGACGTCCGAATTATTTTAAAAAATCACAACTTTTAGAAATCTTAACCAAAAATTTTAATTTTTGGTCATTTTATAGCTTAAAGTCTCCTCTATTTTTTGGTTTTTAAATTGTAATTATTGAGTGAGTTAATCAGAAGTTATAGGACTTTAAGTAAGTCGAGGTCAGCTTAAGCAACGCAGGACAAAAGGCTTTTAAAAATTCAAAACTTTTTTAAACTTTAACCAAAAATTTTTATTTTCAAGTGTTTTATAGTTCAAAATCTCCTTTATAATTTGAGTTAAGAATCAAAATTAGTGAGCAATTAGAAAAAAAGTTATGGGCCTTTAAGTGAGGTTAGGTGTCTTAAAAGGTGTCTCCATTTTAAAGAAATTATTTCATTTAAAGGAATTTATTTTTAAAAATCAGAACAAATTAAAAGATTAAATTTCCGAGGGTTTAAATAAATTTTTTTAATTTAAAATGTCGACAGATTTAACAAGAAAAAATATTTTTTAGCAAAAAATTCTAAGTAAAAGCTTTTAATTTTCTCCATATTTTAAAAAGGAGGAACAAAAAAGGGTAAAATGAGGGGAAATTTTTTGTTGTCATCAATTTTAAAAAAACATTAAAAATAATGAAAAAATAGGGGAATTAATGGAAGGAAGGAATGGAAGCATAAAAATAAAAAAAAATAAAAAAAATTTTGTGGGAGAAAATATTTATTTGTAGTATTGTTTTTCTTCCTATTTTTCCACTTCATTTAAAAAATAAATAATTTTTTAGTTAAGCCGATATTTTGGTTTTTTAAATTTTTTTTAAATTCTTGTTTTTTGTTTTCTCATGAAAAATACATTTTTTAACATGGGGAAAGTCTGGGAATTTTTAAAATATTTTTTTTTATTTTTTTATGTTGAAATATATTAAAATAATTTTTATATTTCTTGAAACTAAAGCCATAAATGAAAATTAAAAAAGGGGATTAAATGACATGAAAATATATTTTTAATTAATTGGAGAAAGAAAATCCCCTTCCATAAAAATATTTTACTATTTTTAATTAAGATGATTTTTAAAGAATTTATGGATTATGGCAAGTAAATCTATTTTGGTTTAAATTTAGAAATAAATGGGGTATTTTAGCAAAAAATATTTTTTTTATAATTTTTAGAAACTAAAAGAAATTTTTAATTTTTGATTAATTAATAGCTTAAAGTCCCCTCTATTTTTTGGTTTTTAAATTGTAATTATTGAATGATCTAATTAAAAGTTGTAGGACTTTGAGTAAGTCGAGGTCAGCTTAAGAAGCGCACGAACAAAGGGTTTTTAAATTTTAAGAATAGGGCCAGAGAATAAGTATTCACAAAATTAGTCTATAAAGACCTATAATTTTTGCCTTTTAAAAAAACTTTTTTAATGTAAAAAATATTTTTATATATCCATTTCTAAGAAAAACTTAAAGTCAAGTTCGTGACTACAACCAATCTTTAAAAAATTTGTAAAAAAACTTTTTCACAAATTTATCCATAAATTAAGTATATTTATTCCTTCAGATTTCTTTTTTAACTTTTAATTAATTTTTCATGTTTTTTTTGAGTTTTAAACTTTGGTTTTGTGTGTTTTGTTGACCTGTTTTGACTAAATCCTAAGCCTTGGCACATGCAAGTTACTAACATTTGAATGAACACAACTAAGGGTAAAATTAACCGATTAGGCTGATTTTGGTATTTTTGGATAGAGAATTGAATGGGCTATAAAATGATAAAAAGATAAAAATTTTAAGCGGAAAGGAAAAGAAGTTATGGTCAAAAAACCGTGAAAAAATGGAATTTTTGTCAAAGGAAAGGAGGTTTTAAGGCTTGTATTAATTCCTAGTTTGCCTAACTAGCATATAAATACCCCTTATTTAGCTTAAAAAAGGATTCTTTAAATAAAAAAATTTTTTCTAATAAAAAAAGAGATTTTTAAACATTAATTTTATATAAAAAATATATGGTTGCATTACATTTATTTAAATAATTTATTTTTCGGTTTATTTACTTTGGCTTTATGCCTAAAATAAAAAAAGAAAAAAATATTTTATTCAAAAAAATTAATCAAAAATTCTCTTACCTATAAAGTAATTTAATATTTTAGTTAAAAATATATACTAGTTAATATCTGGTAGTCACGCTTATTTTTTGATGTCTTGTGATTTATTAATAAAACTTGAAAAAGTTTCTAGGAGAATTAAAAAGGTTGTAATGATTATAAAATAATAATGAAATTGAAATTAAGTTTACAAACTTGAGGTAATCCGGAAAACTTAATTATTCTGAAAGAAGAATCCGGAAAATAATTTTAAATTAAGTTTACAAACTTGAAGTTTTCCGGAAAAAGAGAAGTAAACTGAAATAAGTATTCCGGAAAATAATAAGGAGAATTAAGTTTACAAACTTGAAGTTTCCGGAAAAACTTGAAGTAATTTAGAAAAGTAATCCGGAAAGTAATACAAACTTAAGTTTACAAACTTGGATAGAAAAAGTTTTATTTTAAAGTTTAAATAAACTTAAGTTTACAAACTTGGATAGAAAAAGTTTTATTTTAAAGTTTAAATAAACTTAAGTTTACAAACTTGAAGCTTTCCCTTTGGAGACAGGTAAAATAAGACTAACAAATTTAAGGGCAAAGTTAATGCCAGAAAATAAGTTTAAGAAACCAGGAACAAAAAAATTTTTTTTATATTTGGAAATAAAAAATAAAATAAAATTTTTTGAATAAATAATTTTTATATAAATTTACTGGACCATAATAAAACAAAAAAATAAAGGTAAAAAACACAAAACCCCTCAAATATTTTCAATCTGTTCTGCCAACCATAAATTTAATGGAAAGGGCAAAGTGTGTATAGAAAAAGATTAATGGATTATTGTTATGTAAATAAAAATGAAAAAATAAAAAAAATAGAGGGAAATGAAAGAAAAAAGATTAATTAATGCTAATATTAAAAAATAAAAAAAAACTAGGAAGCAAAATTAGAAGGAAATATTATTTAAAAAGGATAAGGCTTATAAGCATTTGAATATTGCATATTCAAGCCTGTCATTACCAGAAATAAAATAATTTATTCTGAAATTAAAGAAATTAAAATTGGCAATTTTTATTTATTATTGAAGGAATTCTGCTAATAAAAAAGGAAGAAGAATTAAATCAGAATTTTTAATTAAATCAAAATTGTAATTATTTTACAATTGTAAAATAAATGAGAATTAATAAATATATTGTTTCCGGAAAATAATAATAATAAGTTTCCGGAAATGGAATAATAATATTTATTCTTCCGGAAAAAAATAATAAATAAATATATTGCTTCCGGAAGAAGAATAACTTCCGGAAAAAATAATAATATTTATGGGAGTATTGTACATATTTATTAAGAGAATTGTAAATATCAGAATTATCAGAACAAATAAGCATAGGGAAAATTTAAATAAACCAAAATTATAAATATTGATGTAAGCATATTTTCCACTAATTTTTTATCAATACTTTTTAAAGCATAAAAGAGATGAATTGAATTTTATAAAAAAAGGATTTTAAATAAAATAAAATTTTTGTTGAAGGTAGTGACAGTGTGGGAGAAAAACCATTTAAAGAAGTTTTGTTTTACTAATTGCTAATTATCAATATTAAATGATGTGAAGAAAATTGGCTGTAAAAAGGACAGAAAATTTAAAAATAGAAAGAAAATATTTATATATACAAATGTTGAAGATTTTTAAAAGGATTTTTAAGGACATTTTTGGGGTAAAAAAGAGAAGCTAAATTCAGGTTTATTTTTAAGGTAAATAATTTTAAAGTTTTATTTTGTGTGGAAAAATGTTTTAAAGAGGAAAATAAACTTTTTTCGGAAAGCTGTAATTATTTATTGTTTCTTTCCAAAGTTATCCCATTACTAAGTCCATTCAATACAACTTTTGAATATGTCAATCCCACAGGTTTTAGATGCATCAAATGATGCACGTTCGAATGTCCTCGAACATTCTACAGGAGCGCGTTTTGTGGTATCGAATTGCACATGGATCTGCAGTAGCTCATTCGATAGAGCATTAAAAGCTGTATATAATACCTACTTTTGGAAAGTTTTGAATAACTTTTGAAAAAAATTTTATGATAGAACAAAAAAAATTAATTTTTTTAAATACTCGAACATTCTACAGGAGCGCGTTTTGTGGTATCGAATTGCACATTGATCTGCAGTAGCTCATTCGATAGAGCATTAAAAGCTGTATATAATACCTACTTTTGGAAAGTTTTGAATAACTTTTGAAAAAAATTTTATGATAGAACAAAAAAAATTAATTTTTTTTAAATACTCGAAAATTCTACAGGAGCGCGTTTTGTGGTATCGAATTGCACATGGATCTGCAGTAGCTCATTCGATAGAGCATTAAAAGCTGTATATAATACCTACTTTTGGAAAGTTTTGAATAACTTTTGAAAAAAATTTTATGATAGAACAAAAAAAATTAATTTTTTTAAATACTCGAACATTCTACAGGAGCGCGTTTTGTGGTATCGAATTGCACATTGATCTGCAGTAGCTCATTCGATAGAGCATTAAAAGCTGTATATAATACCTACTTTTGGAAAGTTTTGAATAACTTTTGAAAAAAATTTTATGATAGAACAAAAAAAATTAATTTTTTTAAATACTCGAACATTCTACAGGAGCGCGTTTTGTGGTATCGAATTGCACATTGATCTGCAGTAGCTCATTCGATAGAGCATTAAAAGCTGTATATAATACCTACTTTTGGAAAGTTTTGAATAACTTTTGAAAAAAATTTTATGATAGAACAAAAAAAATTAATTTTTTTTAAATACTCGAAAATTCTACAGGAGCGCGTTTTGTGGTATCGAATTGCACATGGATCTGCAGTAGCTCATTCGATAGAGCATTAAAAGCTGTATATAATACCTACTTTT